CGCCCCCGCCCACCTGCTGCCGCCGCCGCCGTCGTCGGCCCCGAGCCCCGCCCGCCCGCCCGCGATCGCCTAGTCCCTGCTCGGGGAGGGCGGAGCCTCGGGTGGGCGGAGCCTGCGGGCCTGACGGCAGCGTTCTCGGCTGCCCCCTGCCGGCTTCTACCGGCACCACAGCCCGACTGGCTTCCTCTGCCTCCTCTGCCTTAATACTTCGAGAGCGAAACAAGCAAGCCCTAGCTACCAACACGCACATCCCAGACTTCTCTTTTTTTTGCTGGAAGTGGGGATTGAATCCAGGGTTTTGCACTGAGCTCCACTCCCAGCCCTTTTTATTTTGTGTTTTTAGACAGGGTCTCCCTAAGTCATTCAGTTACCCAGGCTGAAGTCAAACTTTTTCCTCTGCCTCCCAGAAAGCTAGGACGACAAGTGTGCACCTCCATGCCTGGCTTGTTTTTTCTAATGCTTTCCAGCAATTTTATTTTCACTTGGCAAATAAGAGTTGTATGAAAAAAGAGTTGTATAGTTGTACACTATGAGTTTGAGGCCAGCCTGAACTGCATAGGCCAGACTGTCTCAGACCCCCATCCCCCCAAAAAATCAAAACCAGCCTCAGACAAAACAAACAGAAAGTGTCAATTTGTATCCCTTTCCGGGGACCTAGCTCACCAGCATAAGGACCTGTCTAAGGCTTTGTTGTTTTGTTTTGTTCTCTGAGAGAAGATAATGCTGCTATGACAGCCGCGTGCCACCACACCCAGCCCAAATATATACAACGTTTTTTGTTTCTTTTTTTGGAGACAGGGTCTCCTATGCAGTTTGGGCTGGTCTCATGCCCGCTTTTGTAGCTCCCAGGCTTGTCTCGAACTCACAGTGATCCTCCTGTCTCAACCTTCCGAGTACTTGGCATTACAGGCGTGTGCTGTCACACAGCACGCCCAGGGTTCTGTGGCTGGCACATATCGAACTCCGGTCTTTGCGTTTGCCAGGTAGGTGCTTATGCCTCTGAGCTATCTCCCCTGGCCCAACACCTGGTTTTGAGACTGGATCTTGCTAAATTGCCTAGTCTGGCTTCAAACTTGTAATCCTCATGCCCCTGCCTCCCATATCATGGAAGGACACATGTGTGTACTGCCACACCCAGCCAAAGCAATGTTTTCATGTGTTTACATTGTAGAATGATGAGATCGAGCTAGTTAATCATCCCCCAACCTATTCACTTTGTGAATGTGTGTAAGGAGAACACTTCCAATGCACCTCCTTAGCAAAAAAAATTTTGACACAAGGTCTCTCTATGTAGTTCAGGCTGACCTTAAATACATTATGTCACCCTTGCTGGTCTTCAGCTCATGGCATTTATCCTGCCTCAGCCTCCGAGTACTGGGATTACGTTAGTAGCTACCAGCCTGCTGTGGTAGTTCCTGCCAGTAGTCCCAGCACTTGGGAGGCAAAGGCAGGGAGACCCTCTGAGTTCGAGGCCAGTCTAGACTACACAGTGAGTTTAAGCCCAGCCTGAATTACAGATTCTTTCAAAAAGAAAAACAAAAGCAAAACCAGGAGTAGCTACCATGGCAATCTCTCCCTTCCTCTCTCTGTCTAGAGCTCCCTCTTTCCCTCTCTCTCCCTATCTCTTTTACAGTACTGGGTATGGAACCCAGGGCCTGCCACATGCCAGGCAAAAAGCTCTATCACCACGCTGCACCCCCAGCCCAGCCTAGGCCAGGCTTTTGCACCCCAGAACTCAAGTTTGAGTCCCACATCAGTGATGTCCTGATCGTGTGGCCTTGAAAAAAGGACTTGACCTCTCTGTGCCGCTGCTGCTTCTCCTCTGAGATGATCTGGAGAAGGGTTCCAGATGCCAAACTGTTGAGAAGCATACAGAGGCTGTGTTTATGGGCTGTGTTAGATGGGCATGGGAAGGACCACGTCTTTCTTTCTTTTTTTAGTGTATTTAGTACAGGGTCTACAGGGTCTCACTACACAGATCGGACTCCTAGTGATCCTCATGTTTTCAGCCTCCCATGTGCTGGGATTACAGGCGTGTGTCACCACACCCAATCTCAAAACCATGGGTTTCTAATTGTCTGTATTTGGGGGAGGGAAACGAGACAGAAAAACAGTTGAGATGTGTTTTGTATATGCACCAACTTCCCGCAAGGAATGTCATGAAAACATGGAAATTAGTCGTGTGTGTGTGTGTGTGTGTGTGTGTGTGTGTGTGTACTGGGGATAGAACTCGGGTCTTTGAGCTTGCCAGGCAGGTGCTGAGCTATATTCCAGACTGTACTGGAAACACAGACGAGAGCAAATTCACATGTACATTAAAAGAATTGTAGGGCTGGCCAAATAGCTCAACGGATTAAAGCACCTGCAAGCTGGCACAGGTTCGATCCCCGGGCCTGCCGTGCTGGCCCCACCCCCGGGGCACGCTGAGATGCAATTGAGACTGGGCGTGGTGGCACGCTCCTGTAATCCCAGCTCTTGGGAGGCTGTAAACAGGCGGATCACTACCTGTCCGATCTAGTAATGAAACTTCGAACATCCTGTAGACCCTTCCCTAAAATACAAAATAAGGGGCTGGGGAGATGACTCAGTAGGATAAGTGCTTGACTGGCAAACGTAAGGATCTGAGTTCAATCCCAGGTTCCGCCAAAAAAAAAAAAAATAATAATAAATAAATAAATAAATAAACAAACAAATGAACAAAAGAATTGTCTGTATTGATGATTGACACTGCCACTGTCTGCAGCTGACCAACCATAGTGCTCCCTTAGCCAACACCTGTAGTGGTCATGCATCAGTAAGCTTGTGGCCCAGGGCAGAATCCCAGCACAAAAAAAAGTTCACTCATTCATTCTCATTGATTAAAAAAAAAAAAAAATCAGTAACTCACACGCACTGTTTTGTTTTGCTGTCGTTATGTTTAGACAAAATCTCCTATGTAGCTCTGGCTGGCCTTGAACTTGCTGTGATCCCCGTGCCTCTGCCTCCGGAGTGCTTAGAGGCGCTGATATTTGAAAATGGACACTTGAAGAATGGGATGGACTCGTCCACGTGGAAAGCAGCTGCGGTAAAATAGACAAACATTAGGGATCAGAGGTCCAGAAAGCTCGTCGTCGGAAGTTTGAGTGCTTTGCCTAGTCCTTTTAGCGTGGCTCCGCCCCATTCTGCAGCTAATGTCAATCTAATCCTGATGACCAATCGTAGGAGAGAAAAACCCACTTTCGCACCTCAACCGCACTTAGGGGGCGGGCCAGGGGCGGGAGAGGCGGGACCAGAAGTGTCATGTGACTCACCCCATTGGCCAAGAGCCCCAACAGCCGCGAAATAGTTTGCAGACGCTCATTGGCCAGAGCTGGATTGGGCCGGCATGATGCCACGCCCTCCAGCGGCGTGGGTTTGGTTGCGCTGCTGCCGGGGAAGGAGACGCTGCCCTTCCGCAGCTATGGGCTCGCGGGTGAGTGAGTGGCGGCCCGACTGAGCCCACCGGGCTGTGCGGCTGGGCCTGGGATTGAGGCCCACGGCGAACGGGGTCGGAGCCTGTACAGAGCACGAGGCGAGCGCAGATGTCGGGGCTCAGGCGATCGGGGAAGGTACCCTAGCTAGAAGCAGCGGGCACCTTGGCCGGGCAGTGCAAGCAGGGCACCGGGGCCACCCTGAAGGGTACGCCGGGGGCCGGGGCCCGAGAGGACGGGGCCGAACCGGGCCGCGCACGGTGCCCTGGGTGTGTGAGCAAGTCCTGGCGATTGGGAGGTTGCGGAGGGCCGGGGGTGCCGAGAGGAACGGGACGCTGCGCGGGGATGGCCGCGGAGTCCCCCGCGGGCACGTCGCAGGTGGCGGTGCTGCGGGACCTCAGACCCGAGGCATTGGGCCGTTCAGGTCCGGACGGTGGAGGGCGGCGCCCAGGCTGGCACAGGAAAGGGCCCGGAGGTGGCGTAAGGAGCTGCCCATCCAAGGCCGGGAGTCAGCCGTCCAGGGGCCCAGGCTCTGTAGGGCATCGGAAGTGTCCTCCTGGTGCGTGCACAGCCGTGGGATTTTCATGCAGGGAAAGAGGCTGCCTATTTCGTGCCCTGGGTAGTGCCAGGGCATAGGTGGGCAGGAATTGGACCCTTTCCATTCTTGCAGCGAAGTGGGCCTGTGAGGGCCGGCACAGTTTCCTTCCCAGCAGAGAGTACCTGGATTCAGCCCTGTCAGCACCTGCCTATCCCTTGGACTCCCAGAGAGCTTGTGTCACCTCATCTGTGTGATTATACCAACCTCTGAAGCCCTTCAGGTGTGGCACTCATGATGCGTGGCTGTTGTTATGGGCAGTAGCTGGGAAGCACCCCTGCAACCTTGAGATCCTCAGCCCCCTAAGCCTGGGGTACTTGAGCCACCTTGGTGAGGTTGCTTTCCTCCTGAGCCTCAGTTTCTCTGTCCTTAAGGGTTCTGTCAGTGACTGAGATCAAAGCCCTCAGGAAAGCCTGTTGTGGCCCTGGCCTGGGGAAGAGCAGCAGTTGGCCTCTGATGGTCTTGTCCGCTGCCTATCAGGGTGGTGGAGGAGGGGCCGTGAGATCACAGGGTCACAGCCCAATACTCGCAGCCACCTGGCAGGCTGTCATCGTGGCAGGGTTTGCCCTACCATGTTACCCTGCCTCACATCTTGGCTAGCACCGGACTGATCGGCCTGCTGCCCTTCCCACTTCGGGATAAGCTGCTGGCCAGTGGCTTGGCCGTCTTCCCAGGAGACAGGGTCTCCCTGGCCTGTGTTCCTTCATCTTGCGGTCCCTGGAGACCTTGAGGATATCTTTGGCCTGGGGGTGGTTTTTGGAAGCACCCTGCAGCATATGGGGTCCAGGCTCTGTGAGGAAGCCCAGCTTTGGGATGGGGCAGCAGAGTGCCCTGGGGGTTTCTCAGAAGGTCCTGGAACAACAGCCCTTGTGCCCTGTGGTCCTTCTGGGATTGCACTTCTGCCGCATGTCAAATATAGCTGGCGCGTTTGCATTGAGCAGAGTCCTAGAGTCCAAGAGACTTTGATCCACCGGGGCTGCATCTCGTAGCAGCTGTGTGACTTTGGACTGAACTTAGCTGTCATGAGACTCAGTTTCCTCATTGGAAGTGGGGGAGGTGGGCAGGGTGGGAGGGCACCTGCGGCACAGAGTTGTGATGACTTGGTGAAAGAACTCAGTAGAAACACACAGTGTCCGAGCCGTGGCTTCCCTGTGCAGCCTGAGCCCGGATGATGTTCTCTGGTGTGGTCCATAGGAAGTGAACTGCGCTTGGCCTCGTGGGAAGAGAAAAAGATGTTGTGATTTCTAGTTGGGAGCTTGCAAATTTTGCTTCGCACCTGGCCTGTGGGTTCAAAGAGGCTGAGAACGGGGCAGAATACCCTGCCTTAGAAGGTGGCGCTTGTGTAGCCCAGGCCCTGGCTCTCAGGTCAGCGTGGTAGGGCTGCTGTCTTCCTGTCTTGAGGCTCAAGGTGGGCACCTGGTCTGTGGACATCTTGTGGCCACCTGCTTGCAGGTGCTTGGGGCTGGGCCTCACTCCAGGCCAGTGTCCGGTGCTGCCTTTGCTGTGTCCCAGCCCCGTGAGTACTCTGTGTGCATCTGTTTGTGCCCATGGGTACTCATTTGCTTTCAAGTTGATGTGTGTTTGTGTTTACATATGTTTCAGGATCGGTGGGCATGGGGATCATAACTGAGCATTTTGACCCATGTGTGTACTTTCTCATGTCTGCCTTGGTGTCTGCCCCTCAGCCCTGTGGAGGGACCGTCTGGCATGTGTGTCCCTGTCCTGCTGGTGTGTGGACATTGCCCAGCACTCAGACAGCCACCAGCTGAAGACACCCTGTGTGGAAGGCCCTGGCCCTGCAGGCTGCGGCCCGGGCACCCGACCTGCCATGGCATTCCGGCGCACGGAGGGCATGTCTATGATCCAGGCTCTGGCCATGACGGTGGCAGAGATTCCCGTGTTCCTGTACACCACCTTCGGGCAGGTGAGGACTGGGCTGGGTTGACGTCCTGTCCTTCCCTCTCTGCCACTTGAAGCCCTGAGCTGCTCAGCCTGGGGTCCCCTGCACTCTAGAGAGCGGGGCCCCGTCCCTACCGTCCCAAGCATCTGGTGTCTTCTCTGCACAGAGGAAGGAGCCCTGGGTTAGGTCCCAAGGTTCTATAAAGTCCTAACTCCAGCTTCTGTATCTAGAGGAGGAATCAGTGTCACTGTCCCTGACAGCCTCATCTTGGAGCTCACCAGGCCCCCAGCTTCCTACACCTCTCTTGTGGGCGAAGCTTCCACCCCACACTCCCAAGTGGGGTGGTAGGGGGTGTCAGATGGAGTGGCCTGGCTGAGTGGATGTCACTGGATTTGAGTTCTGTATTTCTGACTCCATGAGCGTGTGTCTTCATCTCAGTTTCTTTATCTAAAAAGTGACAGCTTCAGCAGACACCCAGGCCAGGTCCTGGTGAGGAGCCTGCACATCAGCGTGCCTGCTGGCCCCAAACCGCCTCTCCCTGCATGGCGCTGTCATCATATCTGTGTGCTGCCCGCCTTGTGGAGGGCAAGCACAGGTCTGGTCTGGGGGTGGGCTGCCTCCTCTGTCTGCAGTCAGTGCTCCTGGGACAGCTATCCCAGGGGCGGCATAACCCGGCCACCTCTCCCCTGCAGTCTGCGTTCTCGCAGCTACGCCTGACACCAGGCCTGCGGAAAGTCCTCTTTGCCACGGCCCTGGGCACTGTAGCCCTGGCCCTGGCTGCCCACCAGCTGAAGAGGCGCCGGCGGAGAAGGAAGCAGGCAGGGCCTGAGGTGGGAGGTGAGCAGCTGGGCACGGTGCCCCTGCCCTTCGTCCTTGCCCGGAAAGTGCCATCGGTGAAGAAAGGTAGGGCAGGGCCACTAGGGTCTGTGGGGTCTTGGGCTGTGGGGTCTCGAGCTGGTAACTTGCGTCCCACAGCTCCCCTCAGTGTGAGGCGGCGCAACAGGCGAACCCTTGTCACTGGGGGCGGGTGGCAGGGTCGCATGCATGGTCGGTGGCACTGCTTCTGCAGGGGCCCAGATCAAGGCTCTCGGAGAGTGTGAGGTGCAGAGGGGCTGCAGACCAACTCCCAGGGTAAGGTTTTCTCTTTTTTTCTAGTCCTGGGGTTGGAACCCAGGGTCTTCGCACTGAGCTCCATCCCTAGCCGGGTGTGTTTTTGTTTTTGTTTGAGACAGGGTCTCGCTGAGTTGGCCAGGCTGGACTTGCGTTTGCAGTCCTCCTGGCTCAGCCTCCTAAAGTGCTGGGATGAGGTGTGCATTGCTGTCTGGCTCATTTCTGGGCCAGAGTCACATATGTGACACACTGAGTCACACAGTGAAGTCACTGTTGTGTCCCCCAGTCTCCTGCTGTCACTTTGTCATCACTCTGCCTCTGCTCCCAGCCCGGGCAGTGCAAGCCTGCCTGATGGTTGGTGCTGTGGTTTTAGAAGCCTTTTACTGTCCCCTTTCTCCTGTGCCGCTGCTTGTGCCACCCCCGTGCATCCTCCTGATTGCCTTCCGGGCAGGGAGTTCTCCTAGATGCTCGTCTCAGGAGAAACCTGTTTTAAGAAGCAGGTCTCAGCTGGACGCGGTGGCGCATACCTCTTGTCTCGGCACTCAGGAGGCTGAGGCAGGGGGTTGTAAGTTCCAGGCTGGAGTTCGAGGCCAGCCTATGCTGCACTGCGAGACCTTGTCTCAAAAAACCAAAGACAAAAAGTGAAACAAAAGAGAAGCCAGTCCCTTAGGAAAATGAACTTTATTTCCGAGCTGTCATTAGAAAAGGGAGCTTTAGCTTCATAGTTGTAAAAAGAAGCTTTAGGTCCTGAGACATGTTCCCGCAGGTGACCTCGCCAGCTAGCGGTAGTCCCCAGCAGCCTCACACCGTGCTCACCCTGGCCTTGTGCCCGCATGCACCGTGCCGCTGTGCTCTCTTATTTCACCTCTCCTGTCCGCTTCTCCTTTACCAGGGCCTTGTGATGCCAAGCCCGGCTGTCCCTGAGCCACACCCCAGCCCCCACTTTTCTCACTTAAGAAAACTCTTCTTGGTCTTTTGAGTCAGGGTCTCTCATTATGCAGTCCAAGTTGGGCTCGAACTCAAGGCAGTCCTCCTGCCTCAGCCTCCCGAGTGCTGGGATTACAGGTGTATTTTTTACTTTAGACAGGCTCTCTCAAAGTTTCTAAATTGCTTAGTCCAGGCTCAAACTTACATACTTCCTGCTTCAGCTTTCCAGTTGTATAATTTTAAAAGTTGTCTTGGCTGGAGAGATAGCTCAGCAGCATAAGTGCCTGCCTGGCAAGTACAACATCCCAAGTTCAATCCCTGGCACCGAATGGTATGCTGGCCCTCAAACAAGGCATCATAACACATGCCTGTAATCCCAGTGCTGTGGAGGCTGAGACAGGAGGATCACTATGAGTCCGAACTGCGTAGCAAGACCTGCATCAAAAAAAAAAAAAAAAATACATAAATAAAAGTTGTCCTAATCCCCATTGGAAAAAGGAGCCCACAACCAATCAGCAACACAGGAAAACTAAGTGAGGAGGTGGGGAGGTGGCTGCACCTGCTTCTCAGTGCCTCCCAGCAGGTCTGGGCCCCTCCTCTGCCCTGGCCCTGTCCTGGGTGATAGCGATGGCAGTGGGTGGGACAGCGGGAGGGGCCATGCTCACATGGACTCGGAGGACAGCCCACGTTCCCAGGTAAGCAGGGGCAGCTGGGTGACTGCGGTCCTTCCACAGGCTACTCCAGCCGGAGGGTGCAGAGCCCCAGCAGCAAGAGCAATGACACCCTCAGCGGCATCTCTTCCATTGAGCCCAGCAAGCGCTCAGGCTCCTCCCACAGCCTGGCCTCGGTGAGCTGTGTGTGGGGAGGCTGGGGGCGCCGTAGGTGGCATGAATAGGGTAGGTGGGCTCGTGGGATGACCAAAAAGGGATTTGTCCCCTTGCCAAGGCCGGCGGCCAGGTGCGTGAGTGACAGGCCTGGTACCTGTGGGTACTCTCTGTCACCCTGGTCTGACCAGCAGAGCAAGGGCTGGGACGCTAGTCAGGACAGGCCTGGGACAGGTGGCCCTGGAAGCTGCTACCCCAGCAAGGGCGGGCAGCCTCCATGTGTCTCCTCCTGGGTCGGTGGATCCAGACCTCAGGGAGGCGTGTGGCTGTGGCACGTGGTCTGGCACAGAGGCTGTGGTGCCTCATCCTTGTCCTTGCCCGTGGTCCCCAGATGATGGCAGTGAACTCATCCAGCCCCACGGCTGCATGCTCTGGACCATGGGAAACCCGAGGGATGGAGGAGTCCATGCCCGCCACTGACGGCAGTGCTGAGAGCCTCTACGTGCAAGGTGCGGTGGGCACTGCCCCGCCCCAGCCCAGCTCAGCCAGCGCTTTCCGGGACTGATGGGAACAGCTCTGCAAATGGATGGCCCTGGCCGAACCCGGCTGCGTGCCTTGCTGTGCCCACTTGGCAGGGCGGCGGGGCCGGACTGTCCTTCTCCCCTCCTGTGCCCAGGCATGGAGCTGTTCGAGGAGGCGCTGCAGAAGTGGGAGCAGGCGCTGAGTGTGGGCCAGCGCGGGGACAACGGCAGCACCCCCACGCCTGCAGACAGCCTGCGGCACCCGGAGACGGCCTCTGAGGCCCTGTCAGAGGTGGGGCTTCACTGTACTCTCCAGGCTCCCAGCGCTGTGGGAGGTTAGCAAGCAGGAGAGGGACAGGCTCCTTGTCCACCTTCATTGCTTTATCTTTTTTGGTCTTTTTGAGACAGGATCTCCCTATGTGGTTCAGGCTGGCCTTGGACTCACTGTGTACTCAGGCTGGCCTTGAAATCGAGGTGATCCTCCTGCCTCAGCCTCCAGAGTACTGGGATGACAGGCATGTGCCCCACACCTGGCTCTGCCTTCTGCTAGCAGGCTGCTTCCTTCCTGGACTGCAGGTCCCCATTCATATGGGTGGTGCACGCCTCATAAAATAGCACGGCACCTGGACTTCAGGATGGCTCAGCCGTGGATCCATGGCGACGAGCAGCCCCTGCAGCCCTGTGCAGGAAGGAGCAGGGCGCTGGTGCTGGCAGAGCAGGCTGGCAGCGCGCCTCCACTCACAGAGACTGAGGGTGTAGCCTTTAGTTTTTTTACTTCATATACTTTTTTCTGGATGCTGTCCAAGTTTCCTAGAGTGAGCATTATTTCAGTTCAAAAAACCAAAATAAACATAAAAGACTAAAAGTAAACTGTCTTTTTTTTTTTTTTTTTTTTTTGAGATAGTCTTACTATATAATCTAGCATGACCTTGATCTCACTCTGTAGCCCAGGCTGGCCTTGAACTTAGTGATCCTCCTGCTTCAGCCTCCTGAGTGATGGGATTATAATTGTGCACCACTATGGCTGGCTCCTCAGCTTAATTTTTTATAATTTTGAGCATGTGCTTTTGGCAAGGGCTCATACAGGTGGCGATCTTGCGGTGACCCTGGGTTGCTTTGGTTTTCCTCAACCACCTGGAGTAATCTTTTTTTTTTTTTTTTTTTTCCCCAGAACCGGGGATTGAACTCAGGCCCTTGTGCTTGCCAGGGAAGTGTTTATTCCACTGAGTCATTTCCCCAGCCCCACCTGGAGTAATCTTTTGTGACCTCCCAGGCAATTTCAAAAAGCTTTTATGCTTGAAAGTTTGTGCTCAAGGGCTGGCTGTGCTCAAGGGCAGAGCGCTTGCCCAGCAGGTGAGAGCCCTGGGTTCCATCCCCAGAGCCAAAAAGAACAAACAAACAAGAAAGCACGCTTCCGTATCCCCACCAGGACAGCCCCTCGGAAAGCCGCAGCCCTCACTCGCTGCGTGGGCGCGTGAGCTGACGTGACCGCTGAGGAAAGCGGTTCAGCAGTTTCTGGGGAGGATGAATGGGAGCCAGGTGGTGCACTGTAACCCCAGCCCTCCGGTCGACTGGGCAGGAGGCTTGGAGGTTCCAGTCCAGCCTGGGCAATTTGGCAATATAGCAAGACCCTGTGTCAATATAAAAGTTTTCTAGGCCAGCCTGATAGCTGAGTGGACTAAAGCACCTGCTTAGGCAGGGTGCAGCGGCCGAGGTTTGATCCCTGGTATGCCGTGCCAGCCCTGCCCCCGGGGTGCTGCTCCGACAGCAATTGAGACGGGCCATGGTGGTGTGCACCTATAATCCCAGCGCTTGGGAGGCTAAAAACAGGAGAATCACTGCAAGTCTGATCTACGTAGTGAGACCCTATAGACCCTGTAGACCCTGTCCTAAACACAGAAAAAAAAAGTTTTTTAAAACAAGGATGGAGAGGCTGGAGAGATGGCTCAGTGGTCTAAAGCACCTACTTGGAACAAGCTTGGCAAAGCACAGGGACCGCGGTTCGATCCTCCAGCGCCACATGCCAGCCAGCCGTGCCCCCTGGTGGGCTGAGCTGGCCACACACACACACACACACACACACACACACAATAAATAAATGTTAAAAAAAAATAAAAAATAAAACAAGGATGGAAGGGGCTGGTGAGATGGCTCAGTGGTCTAAAGCACCTACTTAGAACAAGCTTAGCAAAGCACAGGGACCGCAGTTCAATCCCCCAGCACC